CCCCAAAACCCCAAAACCCCAAAACCCCAAAACCCCAAAACCCCTTTATAGATATTTAAATTGGGTTAGGACTAACTAACGATTATGGATTCCATGTTATACATAACTTGTTGTATTCCTCAGCATGTTTATAAGCAAATGGCTCAGATAATTTTGAGGTGTTGAGAGTATACAAAGTTGAGACATGCTGTCTGGCATAAGGGTGAGTATATCCATCTCTTACTGGGCTTTCTTCCAGTAGTAAAGGCCTAGCTTTGTATCATAATTAGTCCGAGAGTAATCATGTCTACTACCTAAGTGCATCTCTTATCAATTTCGCTTCTCATTACGAATTTGTCTCTATAAACCACAGGCAATACTTATATTATGGGACAACCTATCAATAGTGTCAAGAATTCATAGTGAAACTATAAACCACAATAATGGTAGGATTAACTGATTTCCGAAAATTCGGAATTGATGTTAGAAGGATTCCATGCCGACAATATCTAATGGCATCCTATAGAATAATACATATGCAAACCCATTTTTAAGCGCTCCTTCATAGTTATTTTTAGCCAAACTTTCATTTGTCATCGGCTACATAACATTATTAACACGATTTTTCTATAAAAGATGAATATTATTCTAAACAAATGTGCATAACTATCACTCAAATGCCCATACCCTATACCAAATTAATGCCTAGTAATATTAAAACTCTCTTCTTAGTCTCCGCTCTCTTTGATTCCTCAATCTGGGACTAGTCAACGGAAAGCTAGAGTTTATAATGGAGTCCCAGAAGCCTCCAAGAACTATACTGAAATGTCTGGTTTGCCTGAGACACTGGCCAAATTCTCCAAAAATCAATTTTATGTAGAATTTTCAAGGGCCGAACTCTGGAAGGTCTTCGAAGATTTCTCATATTTCGGTATTTTCACAATTTGTTTCTTGAAAAAGTATAAATACGTAAATATTTCGATAAATTAATAAAATTAAATATGAAAATCTACTTGGCAATCACTTTCATAATGATGCTCCTGATGACCTCATTGGCTCAGATAGCCCAGAATGAAGACAAAATGGCAGCATTGAATGAAGAAGCTGAAGCCCTTGCTGCAAGTTCTTCTTGTGGATTTGTTGAATTGACGATATGTGGCTATGTCATGTCTAGTGGGGATTACCATTTCTGCCAAATCCAATCAGTATGCACCTGCTGTGGCACTCTCCCCGGCCAAACCTGTTACGGCCACTGCGACTTCTAATCCTACCTAAACCCTTGACTACTATTCCTTCACAAAATTAACCTCTTCCAGCTAGAAGGGCTAACAGCTTTCTTAGTAGAAAAGGCTAATGTAATATTTGAACCCAATCTTGGTGAGCTGGCTCGGGGTTTTGGGGTTTTGGGGTTTTGGGGTTTTGGGGTTTTGGGG